GTCCCCCACCCTCCTCTCCCCAACCCAAAACACACACGTGCATGTCTATTTGTGTGTATGCACAACACACACGCACGCACACACACAGGCGCCACCCTCCCCCAAACGACACCAAGATGCAGGAGCTTCGGGAGGCGGCCGAGGCGGCCGGAGTGGAGCTGAATGTGTCGTCAGCCGCAGCCCTGCAGACCACCTTGAATGCGCTGCGGGCCAGTGCCCCCCCGCCCCCACCGCCGGCAGGAGAGGGGGAGGGGGAGGGGGAGGGGGGGAGAGAGGGCGGTGCGGGGTTGTTGTCTGCCGCCGCTCGCCACCGTCGCAAGGTGGAGCTGCTGGTGATGTTGGCCACCCGGCCCATGCAGCTTGCCAAGTACTTCAGCACGGGGAGCTTGGACGAGGCGCAATGGCTGTGGAGGTGAGGGGCGGGGAGGAGCAGGAGCAGGAGGGAGGGTGGGGACGGTCGCGGGTGCTCACATCATGACATTCTGTCTGTTTGATTTCCCGCTTCCCTTTCGGCCCCTCCTCCCTCATCTTACCCCCGCCCTCCGCCCTACTCGCCCTCCGCCCTACTCGCCCTCCTCCTCTCCGGCCCCCTTCCTCCTCTCTCTCAGGCACTATGCCCTGGCTATCGACCACTACACGCACTTCACCTCCCCCATTCGCCGCTACCCGGACGTGGTAGTGCACCGGCAGCTGGCGGCGGCGCTGGACGTGACCCAGGGGGGCTTGAGTGTGGAGGAGGCGGCCAGGAAGCACCGCCTGCTGGACCCGGCTCTGACAGGTGGAGGAGTGCTGCGGAGTGTGTGTGTGCGGAGAGTGTGTGTGGGGTGGGGGAAATGGGAATATAGATTTAGAGGATGGCCCAGGCAGGCGGGTAAGTTGGGGGTGGTGGAGGTTAGCTGTAAATTGATGTGTGTAATAGCTGATGAAACAGCGTGGGAAGACAAATCTTAATTAGCAAGTATTCAGCACGGCAGGAGTACCCCGGCTTAACCCCGGTCTGAATCTCAGTGCCGTCTCTTGCTATTTATTTATTCATGTTTTGCTGTAAGACCCTCCTAGAAGCATTCCTCACCCCCTCTCCGCTTTCCGCGCCTGTTTTTTGGACGTGAAAACTTACCCACGGCTTGCTAATTGTCACTTTTCGGTCATAACTCCACATATATCGATATGATGTATGTAATCTATACACGTGTACGGGTATTTCCCTATTTCCGCTTACCGTACCTTACCTTACCGTACCTTACCGTACCTTGGCCCCACCCCGACTGAACAGACCGTGTGGCGGAGCACTGCAACGAGCGCCGTCTGGCCGCCCGTGACGCCCAGGACGCCTCCCTGCGGCTCTACCTGTGTGTGCTGCTGGCCCGCCAGCCGCGTATTGTCCTGGGCACCGTCAACGGCCTGGGCGGAAACCTCTTCTTCTCCGCCTACCTCTCCGAGTTCGGGACCGAGGTCACGGTGGTGCTGGGCAAGACGGGTGTGCCGCTTACGGCGGAATGGAACCAGGGTGCCAAGGTGCTGACGCTGACCCGCGGGTCACAACCGCAGCTGGACGGCGGCGAGCTGCCGCAGGGCGCCGGCGCTCTCGGCCGGAAGCAACGCAGCCAAGGTGGTAGTGGTGCTGGTAGTGGTGGTGGGCGAGGTGGTGGGCGACGGGGTCAGCAGAGCCGGCAGGGCTCTGGTTCAGGTGGTGGTGGTGGTGGTAACGGTGGTGGTGGTAACGGTAGCAATAGTGATAGCAGTCTTAGTTTGGTTGAGTGGGTGGAATCGCTGCCTCCGGTTTGTAACCCGTACGGTTTGCAGCCGGTATCAGTTCCGCTGCACCTGCGCCAGTTCGACGACGTGCCGCTGCTGGTGACGGCGGAGTTGGTCGCGGGGGAGGCCCCCAGACTGGTGGCACGGATGTACCTGCGTGAGGCGGAGAGCGCCGTGGAGGAGAGCAGCAGGAGGAGGGGAGCGGAGGAGGAAGAGGCAGCTGCAGCCGGAGCAGCTGCTACAGCCGCGGAGGCGGTGGCGGAGGGGCCAGTGGTGGAGGAGACTGAGGGGGGTATTGGTACGGCGGTACGGCAGTCCATGGTGCCCTGGGACAATATGCTGATGGATTGAAGGGGGCCGTGTGGCTGCCCGCGTTCAGTGTGGGAGGGATAGACTTGCAGGGAGTTGTGTCTTTGCAGAGCGGTTAGCGCGTCGCATTCTTCTCTTGCCGTTTCTTTAATAAGAAGGCCATAACAGCTCTCAAAGTACCGCAGTACGGCAAGCAGGAGTAGCAGCAGCAGCAGCACAGGTTTTGCCTGAGATTGTTTTTCGTTGGCGGTTTAAACTGGCATTTGTATTAACAATGGTCACAGCGTGTTGTTGCTCTCTTTGCGCTTACTTCCATTTCGGACATGAGAGCAGGGAACAAGGAATGCGCAAGTTTCATTGCGCGCATACCTGTCATTGCGATTGACGCTGGTGTGAATTGTGTACGACTGTAGTACGCTGGCATGTACGATTTCACACGTCAGCTGGTACTTGGCAGCGACCGGAGAACAAGGGATATATTTCAGAGCATGTGCCTGAACGGCGCCGCCAGTTGGTGGGTGGGGGGAGGTGAGGTGAGGTAGTAAGGGAGGGGGCGCCGAATGGATGCGTATCTGTGGATGGATGGACGGATCGAGGACCGACGGACGGACGGACGGACAGTGAGACAAAATGTGTCGGGGCAAAACACGTGGCGGATTATGGGTGGAAGGGGTTCCCGGAAGGCAGGGGGCCCCTGGGGGGCTGTTTGAGGGAGGTCAGGCAGGTGATGCTCAGGAACCAGGAGAAGCGGGTGGACAGCAGCAGAACGTAAGTTAGACCGAACGATGGTAATGTAAGGCGTATTGGTAGGTAGAGTATTTTGTAAGGGATACGGGGTGGCACAGCCATGCGGGCAGGTGGCACAGCCATCGTGGAGGCGTTTTGAACACATCCGAACAAACTGAGTTCCCGAGGTCATAACCGGCAGAGAGCGTGTTGGGACCTTGGGGGGGGGTAAACACTCGCAGTCGTGAACGACGGGCGTCCCGTAGAGGGGCTTGCAAGGGTGAGTAGAGGGGATGGCTGGAGAGTTGGGAGCACTGCAGCGAGGCTGAAACCGTTTTACATGCAAAGGAATTTCGCAGTCGTATCTATCGCCTTGTTGTCTTCATAACCTTGATTTGCTGTACTTTAAAAGCTGTGACTGGGCAGGGGTGTCTAGCTGCCCGCGGCCTAAAGGATGCATGCGCAGCAGCCGCGCTGCCTGATTCAGCAACTAAACGACCTTCCGACAGTTTGACTGCCACATTACAAATGTTATAACAATATGGATGGAGGTCCTGCGAATGGAAAACTAAAACTCCAAAATGGCATGAGGGTTTTATGGGGTTTTAGGTAAATTTACAATAACATGTGTTTCCCCCTTTACTAGTGATCAAAGATTCGAGACAGTTCATGCTAAAAGCATCAATTTGAAATGCTAGCGGTTTGCTCGGGAAACTGTCTGAGCTACTAAGCCTAGTAAACGCGGTTGGCATCGCGCTCTGCACTCCGTGAATGCACAGACCCCAAAACGTGAGCTGTTGTTGAGGGTTCATCAGGGCTAATGTTTTACACCCTTAGGCTAACTAGCGCACTAGAGCAAGTCGACACCAAGGCGGAAGAGTTATCAGACCGTGTAACAAAAATTTCATTCACATAAAGGTCTTGTTCACACTGGACCCGAGTCTTCCGGTGCCGTACGGAATCAAGGTTTCCCACCGTACATGCGTTTCTATACAAACCGTTCCGCACGTAAGACGAGCCTCACCGCGCGTGCCACACACCATTGGAACCCCTTCTCTTACAGCCCGCCTACAATCTTCCCCCCCACCACTACTTTTCGACTAGCAAAGCGTATGCGCAGGCGCATTTAGAAGAAGCACTAAGCGAGGATTCGGTCACCTGATTTTACAGGCATGTCAGCTATGTACCTGCGACGCAATTCGTGTATGTACAAGGATGGCGGTGGATATCGTGCAAGGGGGGTCCACGCAATGTCTCTGCTGTGCCATACAACGCAGGCCCTGTCCTCACCCAGCGAACTTCATGAAAGACATCCCGTCACTTAGCCGCTGCCTTTCAAATAAAAGTTCTCTTCAAACGAGGAAGGGAAAAGCTGTCCGAAGGGAAGGGGCGTGTGCTAAGCCAAGATCGAGTCACCCCGCACCCGTTCCCCCTCGTCCCTCTTCAGGTCCGTTGAGCAGTATGCACAAGGACACAGCTTTTTATAAGATGATGACAACCCCGCCGCTGCCGCTGCGCCTCTGGGCCATGTCTACATGTCCGCCTGTCCGTCTGTGCGCACGTTCCCAGCTCTGCTTAGATGTATCGCTTGGCGCCAGGCCGCTGTGACTCCTTGACTCGCTCATCCGCGATCTTCTTCTTGACAGCCGCTGGGTCAACCACCACCTTCGTGGGAATTAAAGACGGGCCAAGGGGTCGGGGGTATGGATGGATGGATTGCGATTAGATGCATTGCGTCCACCAACAGAGGGGAACCACACCGGCATCCTCCGGCCCATGCATCCTTCGGCTTGCATTTAGTTCTTGTCCCTGCCCCGTTTCTTCCTTCATTGAGATCTTGCGCCTCCTAGTCGCCTGCTTATATCCCCATCCGCAATCTCCTTTCCTGCTCTTCGAACTCCATCACCTCAAAAGTTATCCCTTCTTTTGGTCTTGATCCCTCACCCTGCGCCCCACCGCCCGGCATCCCACGCCTCCACGGCTTTCTTACCGACTCGTTCATCTGCATGAATCGCGGAACTGTCTCCTGCTGCTTTGCGGCCCGCAGGAACTGCGCCCGGTACCACAACACTGTGTCCTGGTGCTGCTTATACTGCACTGCCAAGTCCAGCGCGCGCTCAAAGTTGAAGAGCTTGATATTAAGCTTGATGGCCCGGTACACCAGACCCGCCTGCGACCGACCAAGCCAGCCAACCAGCCGGGCAGCGCGAAGAGCAGGCGATTAAGAGTACGCAAACGTAACCCAGATGGGCGGCGAGGGAACAGCGGCTCCACGGCAAGTGCGGAGGCGAGGGCACAAAGCGAATGTGATATCAACTGGCTGCCAACCTGCCACACGGTGCCCACTCATTCGCGGCTTAACACCTAGCAGTTTAGTGCACATGTACATTCTTCCGCTATGGCGCCTTCTTCTCCAGTATGCGCGTGTGCACACCCTGTTATTTTGTATCACCGTCAGCCCCGCGCGGCTGCAACCTCTGGACCCGCAAACGCAGCCGCACAATAATCCCCTGCAACACCCCCCCCCGCCACCGTCGCCGCCTCCTTTCCTGCCGGCCTCCCCTCCTGCCGCCATCCCCACCTGCAACAGGACGGCCTCCGCCTCCTCGGGTCGATGGCGGTACAGCGCCAGCTCGGAATTGCGGCCCTCCTCCGTGGGGATGAGCTTCACCTTGCGCACAAAGTGCGTCTTGTCCACCTCGTCAATGGCTGCAAAGGCTGCCTGGGGCGAGAAGCGGGCACAAGCAGCAGTAGCCAGCCATTACGCGTGTCCATGATACAGCGCAAGCAGCTATCTACACCGTAAAAAGGATAGCATGTTACAGGACTTGAGGACTGGGCAGCCGTGGTTGCGTGTTTTGGCCCAGCAGGAAGTTGTGCAGGTTAGGGAAGAGTTGAAAACAGTATGAAAAGCAATGGAATTGTGCGATTGGGACAATGTTGGCAGCGCAGGTGCTAGTGAGAGCGGATGCATACGTAACGCAACGCACACACACACACACACACACACGCAAGCGCACCTCCGCTGTGTTGAGCTCCTTGGCCGCCATGGCCATCGCCGCCAGCGTGGCCCACATGGTTGGGTCCTTGATAAAGCGACACAGCCGCGTTGCCTTCTCCCACTGCTGCCGCCGTACCATGTCGTACAGTACGGCGGGGTACGGCGATGTGGCGGCAGACACGAGCACACCGTCGGACCGGCGCACCAGGCAGCGGTTGCCGGCAAACAGCTGGATCTGCGCGCTCTTGCCAAAGTCTGAGTCGGCCTTGGTGTAGCGTGTTTTGGTCAGCAGATCCTTGTCAACATACACCTCGGAGGGGTAGTACCACACACACTGGAGGAGCAGGAGGGCAAACGACAAGAATACAGCGGAGGAGAAAAATGTTAGGAAACCTAATAATAACAAGAAAGACGCGCAAAATACTGAACGGTATGGAAGCCGAAAGACCTCAAGCGATGGCGGCGCCACGGAACCATGGGACGGGCGTGCCGTACAGAGATGGAAAAGTACACGAGAGGGAGGTTGCGCCACATCCCTGGGGACAGGGGTTCGAGGGGTCTCTACGGGAGGTTGCGCCACTTGCCCCATACCAGCGAGTGGCGAAGTAAATTCACATCAATAGAAACCACTAATAACCTACCATATGGGCCGGCGTGACCCTGCCCCGCCGTTGGTCTACCCTCCCCGTCCGGTCCCGGTCCCAGCGCCGTGACGTGGGTGACCTAGAAAAAAGACACGCACACTCTCCGCCTTACCAGCCGCTGGTCCACCATCGCCGCCAACATCGCCGTGGTGTCGTGCCAGCGCGCCGAGTCGCACATGGCCGCCAGCTTGGCGATGTTGCGCTTCATGACCGGCAGCAGGTAAAGGTCCCGGTTGCGGTCAATGATGATGAGCTGGCGGTCGGCAATGGTGCCCGCCTGGCTCAGCGCAATCTCCTTCACCTCCAGCGTGTGGGACCACGGCTCACCCAGGGGCCGGCCCTGAGTGCAGAGAGGTGAGTGGGTGGCGGCGTGAAACCCTAAGTGAGCATGACACGAGGTGGTTAAGACCATAAAAACATGGAGCGAGGATGTACGTAAAAGGATAACAACAAAAGGAAGACAAGAAGATCAGCTCGACGCAGCCATGGGGCTGTGGATAAGTACAAATGTAAGCACAGGGACATGGGGTCCACGCCCCGCATCTTCCGCTTCCCTCCGTCGCGGCTCCCCCCCTCCAGCCCTCCTGAAAGAGAGAGCTCAGTGCACACCGGACCTGCGCCGTGTCGAAGAACCTGACGGTGGTCCCGGAGGCCTGCTGGTCCAGCACCGCAATCGTGTCGTTCGACAGGCTGATCATGTCGGCGTTCAGCAGCTCGGTGCGGAGGCCCTGGAAACGCGGGTTGCAGATCTGGCGGCCCTCGTACGTGTAGATCTGGATGCCAGTGGAGTTGTCCAAC